TGACACTGAACCGCTGGGAGCCCACCTGCAGGGACGGCAAAACACAGGGTCACCGCTAAGCTCCTTGCTCTGAAAGCTGCCCTGGGAAAGAGGTGAAGAGAACCTCCCTGCTGGGACCCTTATCCCACTCTCTCTGCTGCTCTGCTGGACTCTGCTCCCCCATCAGTCCCCTCCGGGACTCCAGACCTCCAACTCCCATGGCACACAGCACTCAACCTGTACCTCACATTTTGACCTTAAAGAATTGTCATTATGTGCTTTTAATGCTGCTTGAGCACCAAAGCCTAGCTAGGCAGAGTCTGTCGGCAGCCTGATGGTGGATGTGGGATTCTGTGAACACCCAAGAACCCAGCACAGCCGTGGAAACTGTAGGTCAACAGTTAGGACAAACAACCATCACGATGGAGATGGCTAACACGGAGTGGTGACCACTAAGGGCGCTAAGGCGTCGGTGCTGACCACAGGCCAGGCACCACCAGCTCAGTTAAACCTCACCACCACCCTATGGGGTAGGCACGAGTTTACAAACGAGGAAATTAAGGAACAGGGAGATTAAGAGATGTGCCTGCAGGCGGGTGCGTGGCAGAGCCAGAATTTGAGGCTGTGGGTCTGAATTCAGGGCCCAGGCTTTTTAACCACTATGCTGCCACTTATTATTTAAAAGGAGTAAAGAGAAGGTGGCAAGACGGAAGGGCAGAGATGGGGGAGAGGAGTCCAGGCATCTGATCTGCAGGCCTGGGTCTGCCACCGGCCCCCTGTGAGGTCTCAGGCAAGTTTCCTGTCTTTTCGGGGCTTTGGATTCCTTATCCAGCAAAGAAGGATGGCACCCCCAACCCACCTAATATGACAAGATTGTGGGGTCAGTGACATGCTGGGGGTGGAAGAGGTGGGAAACATTAACTGAAGCAAGAGGTCAGCAGCAAGAGGTCAGCTCTGCCCTCTAAGAGACGCTCTCCACCTACTGATACATCTCTAGCCACACAAACAAAACCTGCCCCTCTCAGGACAGCAGGGCACCATCACCTGAGAGCCCCTGGGCTCGAGAGAGCATCACTCTTGCTACTCCAGGCATTAGGGACAGCACACAGCAGAGGAGCTGTCCTTGGCTCACTGCTGCCCGGTGAGTGAAAAGCCCTCATGGGGGTCGTGAGAGCTGGGCACAGACATGAATGTGAACACAAACACCGAGGTATGTGCACACACACCCTCAGGGTCACTCAGCTTCATAACAACCTCCTTATCACCCGGCAACAAGGAATGGCTGATCCTGCCGCTGCACCAGCATTTTACTGAGCCCTGCTTGAGGTGCACCGGCTGTCTACTGTGCACTTACCCCGGTACCAGCATCCCAGTATTTACTGAAAACAATCGTGCCCACCCCTCCGTAGATTTGTAGCATAGGTGTGCCTATTTGTGAATATAAATAAACCTGTAGAGGTTCGCAGTTGATAAGATTTACGAGATTTTTTTTTTTTTAAACTTACTGAGACTTATGAGATTCTTGAAAGCAGGAATCATGTATTCCTCTTTATTTCATTGGGACATGGAACAATTATCTGGCATACAGGCAGTGCTCAATAAACGCTCAATAAAATGTCCATAAGAAGGAAGACAGACAGACAGCAAGCTAATCATCTTTTTCTTTCATTTACTTAAACTAATGAGGGTAACAACATACTTCGGGTTATGATCCTAGACCAGGGGCCAGGAGACCTGGGTGACAGTGACTTGCAATTTCTACCCTTGTCAGTAGAACCTCTGTAAATAATTGTGGTGCTTTGTACTGTCTGCCCTCCAGGGACATGGGACACTCAATCTAAGCCTCGTCCCTTCCTGATTTCCAGCGATGGTGTGAAATCAAAAGGAGATAAAAGATGGAAAATGCTTTGGATGTTGAGATGTCACTTGGTTGAATATTTTTTAAGAAGCAGGTAGATCTCTATGTGACTCCTTTTAGAAGCCAAAGTATAAACCCACAGATTATAAACCCAGTTGATTATAAATCCACCCAAGGCCTCTCTGACTCCCAAATCTAATGGCCTGATTATACAGTATTTATTTATTTCACCGAGAATTAAAATCATGTATTTGAAACCAACTGTCATGAACACATATAGAAGCCAAAGTATAAACCCACAGATTATAAACCCAGTTGATTATAAATCCACCCAAGGCCTCTCTGACTCCCAAATCTAATGGCCTGATTATACAGTATTTATTTATTTCACCGAGAATTAAAATCATGTATTTGAAACCAACTGTCATGAACACATAACTTCTCTACAGATTCACAT